CTGAAAGTACAACATATCTTCCTGATTTAATGATCTTCTTATGACTGTTTAGTAACGTACTCTGAAAGTATAATATATCTTCTGATTCATGATCTTCTTATGACTGTTTAGTAACGTACTATGAAAGTATAACATATCTTCCTGATTTAATGATCTTCTTATGGCTGTTTAGTAACGTACTCTGAAAGTATAACATATCTTCCTGATTTCATGATCTTCTTGTGGCTGTTTAGTAACGTACTCTGAAAGTATAACATATCTTCTGATTTCATGATCTTCTTATGACTGTTTAGTAACGTACTCTGAAAGTATAACATATCTTCTGATTTAATGATCTTCTTATGACTGTTTAGTAACGTACTCTGAAAGTATAACATATCTTCTGATTTAATGATCTTCTTATGACTGTTTAGTAACGTACTCTGAAAGTATAACATATCTTCCTGATTTAATGATCTTCTTATGACTGTTTAGTAACGTACTCTGAAAGTATAATATATCTTCCTGATTTAATGATCTTCTTATGACTGTTTAGTAACGTACTCTGAAAGTATAACATATCTTCCTGATTTAATGATCTTCTTATGGCTGTTTATTAACGTACTCTGAAAGTACAACAAATAATTATGAAAGTAAATATTTGATTGTTTGAAACTTACTGATGCAGATTTGTCATGAATTTTGGTTTTCTTTAAATAATATCACCCGAAGGAACCTCAGTTATGATGTTTTTTATCGTCAGACAGAACTAGTTACATGTTGAAACTGACACTACAATAAATACGTTCATAACAAATTTTGTTGTTAAACTTTTCGTTGATCACTAAGTTGTACGTGAATTAAATAAATGAGAGACAGGAACCCTTGACTTGGTTAATTGTGGTATCGAACCTTGATAACATAGACGTACCTGGATTAGATCAGAAAAGATATGAAATTAAACACAAAAAACTAATTCACAGTTAAACAAAAGTATTTAAAAGGGTTAAATTTATGAGATAACTTGAAGTACCGGACAGAGTGTAGTTTTTAAATATGAGTAATTTAATTGTTCAGGTGTAATTTTTTGGTGAAGAACAAAAAACTTGCACGAACTTGTTACATTTTTCGGCTTAAAGATTTTATGTTTAATCATTAATGTTATAGATAGATTTCCTTAAATAAATAAACTGAATATTGTTCAGCACTAGCTTGATAATAATCCTACTTGTTTTTCAGGAACGCCTTACCAGATAATCTCGTGGAGGCATGCGTGAAGCAGGTAAGGTGTCCAATCAAATCAAGGCAAGTACTTGAAAACTTAATTCAAATAAAAATTTCACAAGCTCGTGACTCGTCCTTACAAATGCCAGGTCCCAGCTTAGCGACAGTTCAAAAATAAATGTGCGGATTTAGTGAAACGTCAGAAAGAAAACTTTTGACATAATTTTTTACTATATTAAAAAAGAGTGCACTATTCTTAGAAGATTTCAGCTGTTTTTCTTACTTAATTTATTAATAAAAACTTCCGAGTGAAAATAAAGAAAAATATCTTATATATATATATTGCGAATCGTGGTGTCTGTCCGAACGTTCGTCTGTCTCCCGTTTCAAAAGCTGCGCACGCAGGCAAAGCTCAACATTCACTTTTGAAATGACTGGAGAACAGGCATGAATGATGTTGATGCCATTTTTTTTTCGCAAGCAGGATATTATACACTAAACTGTTAAGAATTAATCACACTATCATTCACATTTCAAAATGTGACGTAACTTAAAAATAAAAATGTAGATTTACCGTATGTTATTGTTGAGCGGCTCTTAGCATGACTAAATATGTCCAACAATTGCTTTTCGCGGTAGGCTATATAAGTACATTCAGAGCTTTACCTCTAAGTGGAACTATAAGTGTAACACAATTAACCTTTTTAAAGTCCATGAAATAATATAAATTGATAGATGCGGTAGGCTATATAAGTACATTCAGAGCTTTACCTCTAAGTGGAACTATGAGTGTAATACAATTAACCTTTTTAAAGTCCATGAAATAATTTAAATTGATAGATTAACTTAAACTTTTCTCGTCACTGGGGACGGGTACTTTTGCTAGAATAACTTAAACTTTTCCCGTCACTGGAGACGGGTACTTTTGCTTGTACAATAATATGGCAACCACACTACAGCGGTTTTAAACATTATCAACGAAGCCTTTCATCTCATACCAAGGACCACAAGACCGATTGCGGTTCTACAGACTCGGGTGTGGTTGAGAGGTTACTTACGCTATCAAACCGCTTGACAACAACTGTTGCGATGTGAACTGAATTAAGTTAGTGAAACGTCATTTTTTCTTTATTTTATTTATGTTATAGAACATGAGAATTAGGGTAAAAATTTTTGAACACTTTATTATTATCATAGTCAAGTATAACCTTTTTTTATATCTAATATCAATATTTCGACAGGTTATTTGTTTGCTTGTTTGCTTTTATTCAGGTGCAAATATGCTCGGTTTGCGTTGAGATAACATACAACAAATTAAATGGAAAAATCAAGGGGATGAAGTCTGCAAAAGGGGGAATCTTGGGCATATGCGATGGTTCTGTTGTAGAGTACATTGTGCGTGACCTGGGAGAGTCAAGTACTATTTAGGCCTCTTCTTCCCTCCATTACGACGTTTACTGTTAAACTATGTGTATTAATATTATGAGATCAAAGCACAAAACACCATGTTTATCACAGTAATCCTTCTTCCCTCTTGACAGCCACGCCCAGAAATATCGTTCTGTAGTTTTTAGTGCTAATATATAACTTCTTTTCACTTGATCGTTAAACACTCGTTTAACAGTTCCATTGAAATCGTCACCTGATTACAGTATCGAATGCTATTTGACATATAATACCATCTTAAATACACTTTTGTCTAAGATAGATGGGCTTTTTTCTTATAGTACGTATTGAGTGGTGAGAGATACTTAGGACTATCATGTACTAAAACGATCTATGAAGGTTAGTAAATCGTTTTTGTATAGATTTTTTATATAACTATTTGAACGAACAATCTAGGAGCCTGTCTTGGATTGGTTGTATATTTGTGCGTGATTTCTGAATTAGGTTTTCGAGTACTCAAGATGTTCAGATGAAACATTTCTTTTACATAAATAAATATACATACTTTGTTACAAAAAGTAAAAAAGGATCTTTTTTAAATTAGGTGTACACCAAGTACGACGAAGATCCTTTCAATAACAAGACATTTTCTAGAAAGTTATATACTCGACCAGGAACGAATGCCCTAGGTAAAGAATGTTCGTTTGTTTGTTTTTTGATATTGTAAAAATTATTGGTTTGCTACCAAGCAACGAAAAAAACAACATATTATCTCATTTTTAAAATAGGGTTATAATTTTTTACTGGTTTTACAATATCACAAAGTAATTAATATTTTTCCCAGTCAGAGATTTTTTAATTAGGCCTAACATCACAGCATTAATTCTCTTGTGCTAGGCCATTTTGTGTCACGATTCTAAGCTACAATGAAATATTCAAATCCCAGTCAGAGATTTTTTAATTAGGCCTAACATCACAGTATTAATTCTCTTGTGCTAGGCCATTTTGTGTCACGATTCTAAGCTCCAATGAAATATCCAAATAAATTCTCATAACCAAGCATCTAGTGAATAATTGTCTTTGAAGTCAAGACAAAATCTCTTTTTTTTATCGTAGCATTATAGCGATCGATTTAAAAAAAAACGTTTCATTAATTTTTTCCACCGCAGGATTGATCGTCTTTTCACTCGTGTTTGGTGTTATATTAGGATCCCTTCGAGAAAGGTCACAAATTATGATTAAATTCTTCAATGGTTTGGATAAAATTGTTATGAAGCTGGTTTTGAAAGTTATGTGGTAAGTATTGTTAGAGATATTTTGTTTTATTCTCAAGTCACGTGCTTGTAATGGATTTGAACTTATTTATTAACGTTAATGTTTGATATTGTTTATGAAACTCAATATAAGTGTCATGTAATAACGGGATTTTATTTTAAGCCATAGCAATAGTCGATAGCAAAATGTGTGTGTGTGGTGGGGAGGAGGAGGAATAAATCAACTTGCCAGAAGTGCATCCAAGGAAGATCGAGACACGCTTCTCCTTAAGATGTTTGCGATTAAAGTGTCATTTTGAGCCTATTTTAATGCACTAGAAGACTTAAAACGTACAGGTTGAGGGAAAAGAAGACTGAGCAAATGCTGCCCTTAATGCTGCATAACATTAAAAAAAGTACTATTACTAACCACAAAGTTCACAAATTAAACAGAAATATGTTGCACATTTTTTGTATTTATATCCAACGTTTATAATATTTATTACCCATCTTAGTAAAGTATAGACCTATAAGATCCACAAAACAAGGGGTACTGAGGGTCCAGCAGCAGTCCCTGGATTAACGTGGTTCCTATCATATTTGGGGGATAGACCTATAAGATCCACTAAATAAGGACTAAGGATCAAGGGGTACTGAGGGTCCAGTAACAGCCCCTGGATTAACGTGGTTCCTATCATATTCAGGATGTAGACCTATAAGATCCACAAAACAAGGGCTAAGGATCAAGGAGTGCTCAGGGTCCAGTAATAGCCCCTGGATTAACGTGGTTCCTATGATATTCAGGGATTAGACCTATAAGATCCATAAAACAAGGGCTAAGGATCAAGGGGTGCTCAGGGTCCGATAACAGCCCCTGGATTAACGTGGTTCCTAAGATATTCAGGGAATAGACCTATAAGATCCAAAAAACAAGGGCTAAGGATCAATGGGTGCTCAAGGTCCAGTAACAGCCCCTGGATTAACGTGGTTCCTATGATATTCAGGGATTAGATTTTGTTAAATAGTTTTCAACACATACCATTCTGCACTACGCAAATTATTACAGCTACAACAACACAAACTTACATGAACTGAGTCCAATTCATACTAAAAGAATTTTAAAACAGTAAGATAATCGCTCGTGGACCGTTCATCTGCGTCACACATAAAGGAAGTCACTAAAATGATGTATGAATCTAAAACATTTCAAAAGCTGGTATTCAGAAAGATTTTATTTTGCTATACCTACATACCAAAAACGTGGACTTCAAAATTGTAATTAAAATTATGACCAAGCACGTTAGTGCTTATTTTGTATGGATGGGCCGAGAAAAAAAATGGCTGCGACAGTCAATCTATGATGCTTACAAATCTATATACTACTAAAACTCTGAGATTGTTTGTTTGTTTGCTTGTCTGTAATTAAATACAGCAAAAAAAAATGGTGCATGATACTGCCATATTTGTAATGAAATGAGAATAGAAACAGAATAAAACAAGTTTCGTTAAA